GTGAAATGGGGGTGGCAAAAAAATAATAAAATGCTTACTTTCAAAAGAGTAATTATATTTTTACATCTTTTCAAGCTGCCCTATTTTCTCTTTCTCTTTCATGTGGCAGTACTGAATTTAAAGCAAACGAAAAACAATGGACTGAATGTTACAACAAAAGACACTGTATCAACCAGATTAACCAAGACAAGAGTGTGGGGAAGGTTTAAACGGCCTCTCTGAGCTTTGTGCAGGCTCCGCCTAGTTCTAACACAGAGCATGGACCTCTGGCATCCACATCGTTCTGGCATGTGATGGTTAGTGACTTGACTTTGAAGCATGTTATTGTTCCCAAGTTTTAAAATGCTGCAATTTCCTGCACACAGCAATACTCACTTTACAGACATCTCTTAGATCGAAACTGAAAAAACCAAAACAATTCAAAGCAAAACAAAAACAAAAATGAGTTTGTTTAGAAACATCTAGCCATCGCAGTGACGTCCCCATGAATATCACCCAGCCTCAGGATTCTGTCTCCACCTACAGCTGTTTACATGGCCTTCAACAGACAGTCCGTTTTCTGAGCGATCCTCTGGCCTTGAGCCTCCTCCCTTTTTTTCTTTTATAGGGATACAGAACTCGGATGGCTTCTGGCCCCATGTTTTGCTTGGGTAAAGCAGAATCTAGCATTTTCTAAGCTTGCTTGTTGTCGATTCCTATAGTTTTTGATCTAAGAATGGACCTATGAATCATCCAGCTCTTATACATTACAGACAAACAAGTGAGGGTTTTGCCTATTTTTCCTTAGGCTACTTGTCTCCCAACAAAGTAAAAATCTAACCATCCCCAGGTTGTGTAGATGCAGGCCAAGGAGTCAACTAACGATAAACAAAATCACATCAAAACGGCCTGTCCATTTCAGTGTCTTAAAACTGATCCATGCCCCTGGCTTCAAATAGACTAAAAAGGTGATTGAAGAGAGTCCAAAATATCATTGCTTAAAAATTTCCCACATAGAGGTAAATTCAAGGTCTTCACTTTTAAAATAGTGATTTGAAACCATCCAGGCCAAAGCATCCACTCTGAGATCATTTTTCGCCTTGGTTGGCCATGGTGCAACTGTGCATGCATTCTTTCTAACAAGCTGACTCCCCTGTGTGTTAGAAATAGCTCAGTCTCGCAGGAGCTGTAGAGAACAGGGCAAACAGACATGCTCATTGGTTGGGACACCTGGAACAAGCACTTTATGATGCTGGGAGCTTGAGGGCCTTTTAGTTCAGAGAAAGGAGTGGAGGGAGCCCAGTCGGCTCTAACAGAGCCGTTCTCACATTCATGGGCAGCAACTGCAGGCCCAGGAAGGAACTGAAGTGGGTCTTACCTCTCCTTAGGCTTCAGGTGTGAGAAGCCTGTTTGCTGGAACCGGAAAGTCATCACCTACACTGCTCGTCAGCTCTTGCTGAGACACTGGATATCCCAGTTAGCACAGTTCATCCTCTTCCAATGATCACAATGATCATAACATGCACATGGTCCCTTTCCTCCCACCCCTACCCTCACCCTCACACACTGTGTTGTCATACAGCCCAAGATAAGGAGCAGCCTCTGCACATAGCTCCTGTGTTTTGTGATCCATACACCATGAACACCGGCTTATGTGAAATCTTGTAATAAAAATACAACCACACCATGTGGACTCCAATGGGACCCAGTTACTTTGTCCACTGACAGCACAGGGGTTGGTGGCTCTGCCCAGCAATGGGTGCTTCTATGAGAAAAGCAACTTTGGAGATTTCTCTCAATGACAAGAAAGGTGGCCTTGTAGAGGACAGGATTTACTGGATTTACTGAGTCCTGAGTTGTAAGGATTCGGACAGGTGGTCAGAGCAAAGTCGTCTTTTTTCCATAGCAACCGTAGGTCAGGAGCTGTGAGGAAGGGTCCTTTCTCAGGACAAAGCCTTCACAGTCCTAGCCAGCTCGGGCTGCTGTCAGGCGGTCTTTTCCCTTTGAATCCTGGGAGAAGTCAGGGCAGCATGCGGCTGACTAGGCTTCTAGGTGCAGAGTCAGAGGCATCACGGGAGGGTGAGAGGAAGCAGAAAGACAAAGGCAGTCATGGAGCCCACAGTAGCTGCTCAGACACAGGTTGGTGCCTTACAGGCACGTGAAGGCCAGCGCTTTCCTTCCTCTTGCTTCTGATGGTGCAAATTTAGACGTCAGGCACATTCCTGGGGGCGGGGAGTAGGATGGTTGTGGACTCTACAGCCCCCAGGGAGAAGAAGGAGAGGAGTTTCCAGGTCATTTATAGCACTTCCTTGACGTCGAGGAAAGGGAAGGAAAAGACTTTGACTAATACCCTGAACTAAAAATGGGGAAATGAAAAAGTATTATAAAAGTTAGGTTATTTCTTTCCTTCCTTGTTTTTCACGTGAGCAGCCACTGAGAATGCAACTGGCTTTCAGTCTCCTCTGTAACTGGGGACAGGAGTGAAATGGATAAACGCAGCTCACAGATAGATAATCCCCAAAGCTCATCCTTATCTACTGGCTTCAACCTCCTCCCTCCAGAAATCTTCCATCCCAGCTCCTGATGAGGAGAAAAATGAGTGGAGGGAAGCATAAACGACGTTACAGGGCAGACTTATCCTCTGATGAGGTGTGAAGGTGCAGGAAGGAGGCCAGGGGTTCAGAGGGACACGCAAGGGCCCAGGTGGAGGCACACTGCAGGAAAGGCCCTCGGCATGCTGAGGCTTCTTTACATGGAGGGAGAAAGACTCCTAAAATAGCAGAGCTGGACAGGATAACCCAAACCAGTCGGGTTCCTTTACAGAAGGGCGCACTGAAGCTCTGAAAGGGCATTCGGGTCATTGTAGGGGAGGCAAAACTTTTCCTTTACACTCTGACAGTCAGGCTGGGCCTGAGAATTAAGTTGACATAAGACAAATTAACAGGAGAAAAGCACACAGATTTTATTATTACATGTACATGGGAGCCTTCACAGAAAAATGAAGACCCCAAAAGTGGTTGGGCCTAAGCACTTCTATACTAGGTTGAACAAAGAGTAGTAATTGTGAAAAAGTATCTAAATGTAGGGGCCGGTTAAAGGAAGATAAGGGTCATTTAACAAGGTTTGCTTGTACTGATTTCTCTCAGCCCCTTCTCGTCTCTGGCGATGAGAATATTTCTTTCCTCCTCATATAGAGAGGGCATCTTTTACATGGCAGTTTTATCCCTTGCTTTTAGGAAGAAAAGGGGAAGTCAGTGCCCTTCTTGCATGTGCTTGCAGGTTTTTCAAGTGCCTTTAACTCAAAATAATCCCACGTCAAAATGGCATATTTTGGGCATATTTTGCTACCCTTCACCATCCAGCTAGTTAGTGGCAAAATCGAAACTAGATGTTGGTCCTTCTCTTTTCCAGCCTGCGGTTATTTGACTACATCTCAGTTTCCGTCTTGTGTCTGGGACACGCTTCTCACCCTCAACTGATGTCTGCTGGGGATCGAGGACACGCCAGGCCCTGCGCTGGAGGCCTCTACGTTTATCTGATCGATGCACGTAAGCGTTACTGTCCCTATTCTGTGGGTGAGGACACTGAGGTTCAGTAGGTTAGTAAATGGTACTTTCATGTGGTTCAGCCTAAAAACATGTCTCAGGAAACACAGCAATTTAGATCAAGAGTCTGGTTTCATCCGTTCTCTCAGCAGATGAGAAAACTGGATTTAGAAACACTGATTTTCTCAAGGTCACACAGCTGGCCAGGAGCACAGCTGGGGACTCAAAGGGCACTTAAGTTGGCTCCGCCGCCGCCGGTTAGCTCCGTGTAGCCACCATGACACACATGGGATAAGCACTACTGGAACTGCTTTCCTCTGGCTCCCCTCACCTAGATGCAGGGGGGAGAGCTTCTGAAACAAGCCTTGTAGGACACAAGAGGCTAAAGACAGGATGTTCCCTTACTTTAGACTGAACCTTTCAAAAAATGTACCAACCTCTCCATGGCCACCTTAGATAGGCTTGGAGATGCCTCCCAGGGTGACTTTCTTCCCTTAGGTGCTGCTGAGACCTACAGGAAATGTTAATATGGAAGACATTAGAATGCTCTAACCTTCATCCACTACTTCATCAAAACCATCCCAATCCTTATCTCCTTCATGGTACTGCCGCAGATAAAGACCCGACACCCAGGTTCAGAGGAGTGGGGTTCTCAATTTATTTGGACTAGCTGGGGAATATCCTCCTTTTGTGAGAAGATTCCAAATAGCTGTTTCAAGCGTAATCTTTTCTATTAATGGACAAGCAAGTAAGTTCAGTACTTTTAGGGGTCAAAAGTTCACAGAAACATTCCCAATCAGGGCCATCTTAGGTCATGCTGATATAAATTCATCTTAGAACACAACTGCATGCTACCGACACTCCGTACAAGGTCTTAGCAATATATGTGTAGCATATGAAGCAGCTGAAAGATGCCACAGTCATATCCAAAGGCTCCTTACAAGATGAGATCTGGTCTGGCAGCCACCAATGGCTGGAATCCCACTCAACTGTGGGCAGGCTAAGAAGTCTGTATCTGATGGCATGGGCACAGCCGCTTTGGGGCAAAAGATGGGCAGAGACTGAGGCAGCACAGAGGTGAAGCTGAGAGAGATAGCAATGGAGTGGGAGTTGAGTCCATCTCCCCCACCTCTGGTCACCACCGGTGGGGCCTCACGGGGCTCGGGGAGGAAAGTGCTCTTTTGGGTGACATGTAGGAGTAGAGGTTCCCATTTATCAGCTGGAAGCAGTACAGCAACAGTGTTGGTGAGTGAGAAATGGGAAATGACACCACTGGAGGTTCTGCATTCCAAATAAAACTTGCTGACTTTCCCTCTGGTTCTGCCTAAGGCCCATGGGAGAGGAGAGACCTGGTTTTAGGGGCTGTTGTTAGTCCAGGGCCCAAAACAAATGTGAATCAGATGGTCACCAGGAAGCATCAGGCCCCCTGGAGAGACTTCTCTAAATGAGATCTAAGTATCTGGTCAAGAACACCAATGAACTCATAATCATTTATTGTAAATCACTCATAGTTTACACATTATTAATGGCAAAATAACACTGTTAAACACCTGCTGGATGAAGAACTTCATTATGACAATTTTCTATTGGCATCACTTCTCTTCCCAAAATTTTAAATCCCACATCTTTCCCAAAAATATCTACCTTCACAGCGCTCCGATGCCAACACTAGAAGCCTTTCCTTTGCTCTAACATCTAACACAAAGGGCGCGCTGTCCCGATAATTCAACATGCTCTTTACAAGGCAACTTAACACACAAAATTTTTTTAATCCGGAAGCTACATAATGATCACTTTATATTTTGCTGCAAAATCAATGAAGGCCACATGCAGGTGAAACATTAGTAGACACTGAGTTCTAGATAACTGTCGGTTATTAAGATCTGATGGCCTGGTGTGGAAAATTAATACGCTTATTTAGCAGAAGTAGCTAAAGTGCATGCATCAGTGGCTGGGATCAATTAGAATATAAATTAGGTGTCTAAACATTTAAATGAAAGCTTAATTTGAGCTTAATTTGATGTCTGGCACGTCTGAGTTATACACCTTCAAAATGACAATAGCAAAGAGAACAAAATCAAACACCTAAACAGGCATTGATGTATAGGGTCGGCTGGCGTACAGCTCAGGATACAGAGCTAGCTGGGCAGTGAACAGATCTCTTTTGAAGCAAAGACAGTGGAGCATTGACAAGCTATAAACAGGGCCAAAAAATAAGAGAGCCATTTCCTGTATTCTCACTTTTTAAAGTTTTCAGTTCTCTTACTTAAAAAACAACACACACACATATACTAATTACAAAACAGAAACATTCCTTAGTGACTTCTTAGACCCTCTTTTGTCTTCTACCCTGCCTCTCTGCTCCTTCAGATAGTGTGTTTAAAAGTAATGCTGGGTTAAGAAAGGAAAAGAAAAGAAAAGAAATGCTCTCCTGAATCACACTGAAAGAATATTAAATTCCTTCATCCTGTCAGGGTTAACATGTACAAGCATATGACAGTGTATGTTTGACATATTGTAGCGACAGCATTTAAATCACAAGTCCACGAGCTAATGTTAAATCATAGTTACATTGACTTAAAAATTTTTTTTCATTGAGTTGTTTCTTGACATTATTTTGAGACAAACAAAAACTTTCCAAACCACATAGATTCCATTGTCTCCTCACCCTCTATCCTCTTCCGTGATTCAATGAACAAAAGAACGATAGTAACAAAAGCCATGAACCCAGGTGTCAACGGCGGACACGGTGGATGGAGGATCCAGGTTCAGGCGCTGCCATCTCCAGTCCTGGCTTTCCGCGCCTCGATCATCGGCTTGGTTGCCCGTTTGCGGTCAGTGGCCAGCCCCAGCCAGCACATGAAGTCAATGAACCAGGTGGTTGGGTTGAAATTTAGGCCAAATTCACTCGCAGAGTAGTCAAAGGGAAAGGTGTGATGGTAGTTGTGGAAGCCTTCACCTGGAAGACAGAGTGAGCTTGAAATAACCCAATCACCAATGCCCTACACTGGCTTTTTCAATCACTCATTTATGGAGACTACCCTGTGCGAGACACTGTGTCAGGCAGGTTCTCTGGAGAGCAAAAGACTTGATTCCTGCCCTTAGGAAGCATTTATTTAGTTGGCTAAACTAAATATGAACAGAAAAATAACAATAAAGTTATCAGCATAAAGTGACAAGACTGATTTGCCCAGGTGTATTGTAGACATGCCTCCATGACTTCAGAGCTGTGCTTCTCAAGCCCAATGCTAAACGGCTGACAACGGACCAGCATTCTGATGTATGTTCATAAAAGAAAAATAGCCTTTGCAGACTGGGATGAACACAGGAAGACTTCTTGCGAGAGCTCGGAAGACATAAACGAGAATCATTCTGATAGGTAAGTACATTAAGGAGCTGGATCTTTATATATCCAAACTCTACCTGTATATTATCCTACCCTCTCAGTGAAAAGCTTTTCCTCCCTTCTTCTTCTTCTTTTTTTTTTTAAGATGTTTTCAGGAGGGGTCTCAGGGCTTCTTTCATTTGATTTTTTAAAACAGCTTTACTGAGATATAACTCACTTACCATACAATTCACCCATTTAAATACACATTTTAATGGCCTTTAGTATATTCACAGAGTTGTGCATCCATCAGCATGATGAATTATAACATTTTCATTAACTAAAAGGACACCCCACACCCTTTAGGTGTCATCCCCCCAGCCCTACTTTCCATAGCTACAACGGTTAATTCTATGCGTCAACTTGACTTACCAAGGGGTGCCCAGGGGAAACTTTATTCTGGTGTTCCTGGGAGGGTGTTTCTGGCTGAGACTAGCATCTGAATCAGTGGACTCAGTAACGTAGCTGGCCCTCCCCGGTGTGGGTGGGCATTATCCAATCCATTAAGCGCCTGAATAGAACATATAATGGAGGAAGGAGGAATGTGCCCCTTTTTCACTGACTCAGTGACTGAACTGGGACATCTATCCCATCTTCTCCTACCCTCAGACTGGAATTTACACTATTGGCTCCCTGGGTTCTCAGGGCTTTGGATCCGGACTTAACTATACTACCGGCTGGGTCTCCAGCTTGCAGACGGCAGATGGTGGGGCTTCTCAGCCTCCGTGATCACATGAGCGAATTCCTCATAATAAATCTCTCTCTCCAGAAACAGTAGGATATCTACCTATCTATCTGTCTGTCTGTCTGTCTATCTATCTATCTATCTACCTGTCTATATACAGAAACAGTATATACATCTAGATATCCTACTGTTTCTGTATATATATATTATATATGGAGATTTATTATGAGGAATATTTGTAACAGTATATATACATACTGTTTCCATTTCTCTGGAGAACCCTGACTACAGTCTCTACAGATTTGCCTACTCTGAACATTTCATATAAATGAAATCATACACTATGTAGTCCTTTGTGACTGGTTTCTTTCACTCAGCAGATTTTCAAGGTTGTAGCAGGTATGACCATTTCATTTTTTCTTACTGCCAAATAGTATTCCGTTATATGGATAGACCACCATTTATTATACCATCGAATTTATCCATTCACCAGTTGATGGACATTTGGATTATTTCCACTTTTTAGCTATTATGAATAATGTTGCTATGAGCATTCATATAAAGTTTTTGTGTGGATATATGTTTTCATCTTTCTTGGGTGTAAAGCTAGGAGTGGAGGTGCTGGAGACTGCATCTGAAGGATTCTGCTCCACAAAGAGCATGTCAGATGGATCAATCTGTGGTCTGCAGTTTTCTTATTCAGGTAGGTCTTCTCTACTCTGCTCCTCCACCCTCATCATTGGTGATGTTTTTCCTGGACTAGAGTACACTATAGAGAAGTTTTCCCTCTATATTCAGAAACAGGCACTATTCTAAAAACTCTGTATGTATTCCCCATCTACCGCACTGTTGGCTGCAACAAGAGCCTTCCAAGGCACTTTATGAAGGAGACTGACTGGGAGTCCAATGTTGAGCTGGATAGACTTAAAACCAACAAATACCCAGCTCTTCAGGGCTTGTGTCATGACCCCATTCCCTGGGTTTCTTGCCCATCATCCCCATATAAGACAGTAACAGTCCATCGTGTCCCCTCTCCCATCTGCTCTCGGAGTGAACACTGGATGTGGCCCCCCTCATTATAGTCCTTCTAGAATATGAAGGGTGAGAGGAGGAGAAAGCAATAGGAGAGTCAGAAAACTCTTCCGCCTGTTTCCAAGGTACTTTGCTGTCTGCTTACTTAGTTATCCCATAGCTAAATTTGGTGTTTATTCCACCTTATATTGCTCTTGTCAATGTAAGATCCCTGGGGTCTTAATAAATAGCTGACCCCAACAAAGTGGTGACACAAATTCATTGCTGAGGGACACAGAGACCATTTCTACTTAACAGTAGGAACTTCCCCTTCCTGGCTTTGATCTCTGTGCGCAAGGCTCGCTTGCCAAGAAGACCGAGTTGCTTCTATAAAAATACAGCTAATAATTATTAATCACTGACTGTGTGCCAGCCAGGGCTAAGTGCTTTGACGGGTATTAACTCCCATAATCCTCACATCTCTGAGCTAGCTGCTGTGATTATCCTCATTTTAAAATGAGGATGTAAGTACACAGAAGGGACAAGTAACTTGCCTAAGACCATATGGCTAGTGATAAAAACAACATCACAAAGGCTTACTTCATGCTGAGCGCTGTGGCAAACGCTATGTATCAACTCATCTAACCCTCCAACGACCCTAGGAGGAGAGAAATACCGTTGTCCCCCCTTCACAGATGAGGACACAAGGTGTGGAGGAGCCAGATAACTTGTCCAGAGGGTAAGTGGAGGAACCAGGACTCAACCAAACTTGTCAGCCTCCAGAGGCCTTGCTCTTAACCGTTTTGTGGTACCGTGAGATGCCAAGGTGTTGTTTCTTCCCATTTCTCTGTTTGAAGGCCTTTTTCTTATAGCGAGCCAAATAACTGGACAGCTGAGGCTGGAGCGGTCACAGCAGTTTGAGAGAGAAGTCAATTGCTATTCCTCCTTTAGGAAAATTTCCATGGTAAAAATAAACAGCTACTAATTATTGATCACCTACTATGTGCCAGGCACAGTACCAACCAGTTTACAAATAGTATCTTTCTTACTTAATCCTTGCAACATCCCTGTGAAGCGGGCATTGCTATTCCCATTTCACAGAGAAGAAAATCGTAAATCAGAGCGATTACCTGACTTGTCCAAGAGTCAGGATTCTAGCTCCCAAGCCCAAGTTCATTCCACTCTATTGCATTTCCCTGCCTCTCCTTACAGATTCCACACAACCACTGAGAAGCCAAGAAAATCAGAGCTGCCATCCTCCCCATTGGCTCTCACACCCCTACTCACCAATGGCGCCAAGAGTGACCAGTGGGTTCTGCCGAGGGCTGATGTGCTTGTCATAGGGCCGGTTTCCATACATGTGGGCGGCACTGTTGACCAGCCAGGTGACGTTGAGTGAGATGGTATAGCGAAGGATGGAGGCCAGGAAGTAGGAATTCCAGAGACTCTCTCCCCAGAGGTACCAGGGTACCAGCGTGGGCACCAGGAAGCACATGAGCACCACGGTGACCTTATAGTACCTGCAAGGCAAGATATTATGGTGGCATTGGGCACCTGTTGATGGCAGTGGGGAAAGGCTCAGCAAGCCATAGGAAAAGTCAGGAACTGTGCCGGTCAGCTCCTTCAACGCTTTCCATAGGAGGGCCCTGCTGCGTGTCACTCTGTGCAGGAGTCACAAACCCATATAGCTACAAGGGCTAGGCAGGTAACAAAAATTTAAGAATTAGGACAGGTAGAATGCTAGAGGAAGTGGTAAGGCCTGTAGCATATTTCAGAGGAATTTCAATATAAAACAGTCAACATTGTGCCAGGGAAACCCAAGTGTCTTAGAGCTACATTTGTCCCACAAGCCACCAGTTTGACAGCTCCTAGCTATTTCTTTCATCAGTCAGTCAACCTGATAAGCAGGTTTTCTTGAATAATTTCAAGAAATATCAGTATTTCTTGAATAATTTTCAAACACATGATTCTGTACTAACTTAGCTTGGTAAAAAGGTAAACAACACAGTCCCCAAAATGTTCTATGTCCATTCAAGACTATATTCAAAATCAGTACAAAAACAAAAAGTAGAGGAACAGGTCACAGGAAAAATCACTGAGAAGGGGCCGGCCTGGTAGCATAGAGGTTAAGGTTGTGTGTTCTGCTTTGGTGGCCTGGGATTCACAGGTTAGGATCCTGGGCACAGACCTACACACTGCTCATCAAGCCGTGTTGTGGTGGTATCCCTTATACAACATTACAAAATAAAGGAAGATTGGCACAAATGTTAGATTAGTGACAATCTCTTCCTCAAGCAAAAAGAGGAGGATTGGCAATAGATGTTAGCTCAGGGCCAATCTTCCTCACCAAAAAAAAAAAAAAAAAAAATCATTGAGAAGAAACCATCGATAGTTTGTCTCCTGGACCTGTGTATCCAGCAAACACTTACTGAGTGCCTACTATATGCCATGCTCTGAGTGCTAGTGATACAGACACAAATCCCACACAGTCCCTGCCCCAGGCTTCCGTCAGGTGGAACCACTGTTCTCCACCCTCTGGCCATGTAGGACCAGGTCTACGCAGGGACAGGAGAGGGGCTCTGACACAAAGTATCCAAAGCCATCTGTGCATAGCTATTTCCTCCCTGGCCTCCCACTGGCTAATTGAGCTTCCAGAAAGCCTCTGTTAAGATGCATATGAACTCGGAGGAGGCAGAGTGTGAGGGAACGAAAGTCGGGAGGTGGGAGACTTTGACTTGAGTCCACATCTGATTCTGGAGGTTGAACAGATGTCTTTTTATCCTTTCACTCTCCTCTTGTGCACAGTTAGATGGCTCCCCAGAAAGCAGAGCACGAGGCAAGGGCCTGTGTGTGGGCAGTTTCTTTGGGAAAGGAGCTCAGGAACTCAAGGAGTGGGCAACCGGGAAAAGTGAAACACGGAAGGAGGGGCAGCTAAGCCGAGGGTGCCCGCTGCCATGGGCGACTGAACTCAGACCTTGATGGGACAGAAGATATCCCAGAATTACTCTCTCCAGAATGAAAGAAGGGACTATTTCCCATTGGCTCCAACCCCCCTTGGTTGAGGGATGCCACATGAGATATTAGCTCCCTCACACTTCCGTCTTTGCTGGGGCCAGAATGGCTGAGTGCACTCTGCAGGCATCTCAGGTGGAGGCAGCAAAGAAGCCAGAGCAGGAAGTAAGAATGAAGCAGGACAGCTGAGCGAGGTGCTGTTGGGCAACACCTGTGCCAGCAGGTGGCTGTGGCAACAACTGGAGTGAACAAGTGGACAAGGAGAATGAGGCGAGGCACAAGAGGGTCCCAATACAAGTGGCAATTATAATACCTCATGGGGTTCTTGGGAGGGCCAAATACTAATTACTACTGTGGAGTGTGTGCTTACCATGTGTCACGACTACTCGGAGACCTTCACACGCACTGACTCATTTAATCCTGACAAAAACTCTAGGAGAAAGAGACCATTATTATCCCCATTTTACATTTACAGATGGGGAAACTGATCAACAGAAAAGTTATGTTGCTGGGCCAAGGTCACAAGACCAATAAGAAGTAGGACCAAGATTCAAATCCAGGCATGATCACTTCAGAGACTATCACGCTATTCTGCTTTGCAAATGAAATCACATATGTAAGTGTGTTTTTCAGATTGCTAGCTGCACATAAATGTCAGTTCCCATAATGATAATTGTTTCTTGGGGTTTTTTTAAGATTTGCACCTGCATTAACATCTGTTGCAATCGTTTTTTTCTTCTTCTTCTTCTCCCCAAAGCCCCCTAGTACATAGTTGTATACTGTAGTTGTAGGTCCTTCTGGTTGTGCTGTGTGGGATGCCACAACAGCATGGCCTGATGAGCAGCGCCATGTTCATGCCCAGGATCTGAACTGGTGAAACCCTGGGCCACTGAAGCGGAGTGCGTGAACTTAACCACTCAGCCACGGGACCAGCCCCAATGCTATTGTTTTTATTGGGCAATATATTAACCCATCAGCACCTGAAAGAGAGCTCCTGGGAGGCCAGATGAGTGGGCTGTGGTTGGAGGGGCAAAGACAACAGTCAAAGGGACTGGTGGTCTGGATTGGGCTCCTGAGAGTCACGTGCAGACGGCTGTTGGAGAGTGCTCTCAGGAGACACCGTAAGTGAGGGAGGGAGGCAGGGCTGGGCCGAGGGAGACGCTCACCCACAATGAGTTTCAGCAGATCCAACGGGAGCACTGGGGCTAGAGGACCCTTTAGAGTTGTCCCAAATTGAAAGGTATCCCACGTCATCCAGCCATTGGCTTCAGGGTGCCCCGTGGGAGGGGCGAACCCTTGGGCAAGGCAGTTCCATGTGGGCAGGGGCAATTCTCCAGAAAGGACAGCAGCTGGGGGGTGGGAGCATCAGCTGAAGAGGGATCTGGGTGAAGCCCACAGGCACTGGCCCTGGAAACTGGGAAGTGGTGGTGAGCATGTGAAGAGGCAGGGGCTCTGAAGGGAAAATGGAAGACATGCCCAGAGCCAAGGGTCTCCTGGCTCCTCGTTTGCACCTCTGAGGAGGAAAGGAAGCAGCTAAACATTGCCAACAGTGGGCATCCTGCAACTTAAGCTTCTCTTTCTCACTCTCTGGGTTGCAACCCAGTGCCTTTGAAAAGAGCCTCTCATAGTGCTGTTCTGAGCCATTGTCTTGGCCCCTCATTTTGCTCCTGAAAAGAAGGAGAGAGAAAACACATGTGCTGTGGGCTGGCTCTGTGCTGGACGCCAGGCTAAGCTGGCCACAGGCCTTCTCTCCCTCCTCCCATCCGCAGCAGAATCGGATGGACACACTCCGCAACAAGGACCCCGCGGCTTAGAGAGGTGCCATGCTCCCCCCCGGGGTGAAGCCAGGCCCTTGCTCTGCCCCAACCCTATGGAATCTGCCTTCTCTGGTTTGACCACAGCCTGGGGGACTCTGCTTCCACTCATACCCTGCCCCAGCATCCTCCCCTGAGCCGTTTACGGAAGCCACCTGCCTGCCTGGGCTCTGGTTCCAGAAGCTCCTGTCCCCGAGGGGCCAAGTCCCTGTGGAGGGAGAACGCCCAGCAATGTGGCTTCCCGAGTGGGAGGAGAGAAAGGCCCGGGCTTCACCTCCTAGCACAGCCACTGTCAGGCCCAACTTCCTCTTCCCCAAAAACAGACCTTCTGTAAAATCATCGCCCTCATCCCAACAAAGCTTTCGCAGACCTAATTATAGGGTTGTTCTCTGGCTGTTCTTCCTGTACTCTGCTAGGACTCCTCTTTGTGTGTTCAATGGCGTGGAGGAGAGAGGAAGGAATTTTTAGGGGGCACGGCAAGTCTGGGTCTTGTTGCTGCTAACTGTGTACAAATTCTCCCCAACCATTTCAAACAGACTCAGCGCATCTTCCCACGTAGCAAAGCACCCCTTCCTCCCGCGCACCGTTTGCCTCGAGCATCTGGTCTCCATTTAATTACAGTCAGAACAAGTGCTGAGGTGGTTCTCTGGCTTCCTCGCTTAATAACACTCAGATCTGGACGCCCCGGCGAAGGACCCACAGAGTACTCCACGGAGCCTCCAGCATCCAGACCTGCCTGATGTAAAGGCCCTCCTTTCCTCGAGAGAGAGAGGGGGAAGGGAGGAAGACTGGAGAGGGGCCACTGATATTGCTCTTTTTGCCAAATGGCTTTTTATGTTGTGAAGCATCATAGAGCATTTAACTACCAAACTCCGCCACTTCCCAGCTGTGTGATCTCGAGTCAATTATTTAACCTCACTGAGCCTCAGCCTTCTGTTCTGCAAATGTGGGACTAACAAATTTATTGAGTGCCTACTATGAGCCAGGTACTGTCCCAGCCCTGGAGATATAAAGCGAACAAAACAGACAAAAATCCCTGCCCTTGGGAAGCAGGGGGATCCTGGTAGGGAGATTGTATATATATATATATATATATATATATATATTCCGGTCAGGAAGACAGCTAATGAACAATATAAATAAAACAAGGAGCATGTTAGTGGTAAATACTAAGAAAAAAATAAAGCAGAGAAGGAGAATATGATGTCAAGGGCAGGTGCTGAAATTTTAAATAGGCTGTCTACAGAAGGCTTTACTGACACTATAGCTTTTGAGTAAAGATTTGAAGGAAGTGAGAAGTTAGCCATGTGGCTAAATGGGGCAGAGAGTTCCAGGTGGAGGAAACCATAAGTGCAAAGGCCCTGAGGCAGGAGTGTTCCTGGCACATTCAGAGAAGAGCACAAAAGTTGGGGCTGGAGCAGATGAATAAGGAGGAGAGTTGTAGGAGATAAGCGAATAATGGTGAGCCAAGTCATGGAAGGTCTCGTAAGTCATCATAAGGGTTTCCACCTTTACTCTGAGTGAGATGGACCTTTGGGCAGGTTTTGAGCAGGAATGGTGTGTGATCTGACCTATATCCTAACAGGATCACTCTGAGTATTGTGTTGAGAACAGACTGCAGGGGAAGGAAGAAGCAAGAAGAGCAATTAGGAGGCTGCTGCAAGAATCTAGGCAAGAGGGGACACTGGCTTGAA